TTTTTGTTGTTGTTGGTCTAGCTGGGAACGTTATTAATAGTACTAGTCAAGCTGGCACTTTAGGCATTAACGTGTACTGCTGTATATCTAGATAAATATATAATTAAAGACATAAATATCGAATAAATCTATTCCAGTAAAAATTGCGCAATACCTTCTATATAAAAAAGGGTCAGGGGTCAGGTTAAACATTAATTATTTTACTTAACTGTTGAGAACAATGCGCAGCAATAAACAGACAATTTATAATGCTTACCTAATAAATATTGGTTAGAACATAATTACCGTAAGCACGGGGCAATCAAAGACCGCAATTAAATTTGTAGACCCAGGCGAATCTAATAGATTAGTGCCCGTATTTCTATCAAATGTCTGGGAATAGAACCATAACAAGATGATTTAATAAGTGTATACCGCTTTCAGTTGTGTTCGTGTTGGAACTAGCGATCGTACAGTTAACACGGAATGGTTTTACGGATACATAAAACATAATATTTTAGTCGTTCTTTTTTAAAGTTAGCCATGGAACGATTGTAGACCCTTTTTCAAGGATGTAAAACACCATCCGCAGCCTTTTATTTTTTTCACAATAACGTGTACATGTGTAAGTTAAATAATACACTCTTCCAAAACTGTATGTAAATAATGCATACTACGCAGTGGGTGACTTGTTCTGTTTATATGAATTTAATTTTACCGGCATCGTAACATAAGAGGCACTCTTCACTGGAAATTATTTCAAACTGACTTCCTTGTCATTAACTTGCAAGTAGGACTAACACCATTATGGGATACACTGTCGATCAGATTTAACTACTTTTCGAAAACATTTGTATTAAGAAAAGATTAAAATAATTGTATTAGAGTAGACAGAAATTGGGTTAAAAATGGACGCCGTGATTAATGATGTAAATTAAGAAATAATGATACACCACGAACTGCACCATATCCCTTCCCCTCAGGCCTCGTATGACCGGATGGTTAGGGCGCTCGACTCGCAATCTGAGGGTCGTGGGTTCGAATCCCCGCCCCCACCAAACATGCTTGCCCTTTCAGCCGTGAGGACGTTATAATGTGACGGTCAGTACCACTATTCGTTGGTGAAAAAGTAGCCCAAGAGTTGGCAGTGGGTGGTGATGACTAGATGCCTTTCCTCTAGTCTGTCACTGCTAAATTAGGGACGGCTAGCGCAGATAGCCCTCGTATAGCTTTGCGCGAAATTCAAAACCAACAAACAACTCTTCCCTCACCCGCACAAAAATAACAAAATTGTATGCATTTTAGGTAATAACAATTTTCTTGTACTTTACATATTATCGGTGAGTCATTTTTATCAGTGCCATTTTCTTCCACTTTGCTTTATTATTATTATTATAGGTATTATTTTTACAGATGTCATTACTTCCCGACAATGACCAGCGCCATCTTACAGTTTGGACTACTACATATCAAATTCAATATTATTTTACTGATTTATGTTATATGATTACAAGAATCTTAACACGAATCATTTTTAACGAGGCCAGTATATTATATACTTCTTCGTGTGTTTTTTTTAATTTGTAGGTATTTTGGTAATATTGGCTTGCAGATAAATGTGTTTTATTGGTAATGTTTAAGTTTTAAGGTGGTTTTTGAGTGGGAAATAGAATATTATGGATTTTTGCTTTTATGAAACATTGGTGCAGGTTTAGTATAAAGTTTTTGGTTCATTAATATATTTTGTAACAACATTCATTTTTGAGCCTGATTCTCGTATTTATGTTAATAGACCCATACGAAGATACGAGTTTAATTAGCACATTTTTGGAGAGAATATATTGAATAAAATATTAATTAGGCTTTTGTGAAAAAGAGAGCTATTTTTAAAGTAGCTTTTATTGGTTTTTAATGTTTATCTTTTATGTAATGTCTAATTTGACTCATCGTTGTTACTGATCCGTTTTTATTATTCTCTTTCTTTTATCGAGACTGCAAACAAAGATTGAAATGAATATATTTACATAATTAGCATATAGTTATTAATCTTACAAAATTATCTAAATAATTGAGATTATTGGAGCTTTACGATTTTTTTTTATAAATTTACATTCGATATTATCGAGACTACAAACAAAGATTGAAATAAATATATTTACCTAATTAGCATATAGTTATTAATCTTACAAAATTATCTAAATAATTGATGAGATTATTGGAGCTTTACGATTTTTTTTAAATTTACATTTGATTGTATATATTAGTTTCTCTTCCTAATTCAACCTTTACTCAGTTTTAATAACTTCTAAAATTCATAAGTACGAAGCATCTTGCTAATCAGAATGCATACGTTTTTGGAAGTGTAGTGGAAAGTTTAGTAGTTTGAAGAGGCCTCATTAAAGCTCAAAATTTTGTTGATATTGTAGAGTGCAGAGTTATTTGTTTCCTTAATGTAGGGGAAGATTCCCTCCTAATTCAGTTCTTTCTCCCTCGCTTTTCGGCAGATTTGAAGGTTTATAGGTGACGTGAAAAGGCTCGGTACTCATGAAACTGTACCATTTTAGACATAATCGTAAAAACGTCTTTGGAACCATAATTGTATTTGATTAAGACTTTCTACGTATAATATTTTGCAAACATTAAAAAATTCAAATTGTATCCACTGGTACTTTAAATTAATCAGATATGTTTAATATATCACTGACTTTGATTACAGCATTGTAATATTCCCAGACTTTTAATTTTTAACTACAAAAACCTTTTGAAGTTGTTAATCTTCTTATTTTTAGGCTGTTAGTCATGCTTGTTAAAGGCATTGTGTTTGTGTTTTGCTTCAACAGTCATGAACGGGAACAAAATATAGGTTTTCATTTGACATCGCCAAAATCTGTGACTTTCTTATGATTCACCTAAGGGTTTCAAGGATTGTAATAAGTTTTTTAACCGAACTTTTCAAGATTTTTGCCTATCTCTACATTTTGGACCATGGGTCCAATTTATTACGGACGAAAGGTCATGATGCCATTGAGCATGCCCTGCTGTTTCTGCTATAGGCGCGCAATAAACGTGACAATCAGTCCCATTATTCGGTTCAAAGAGCTGGATAAAGTGGTGGATGCTGCTGGCTGTGGGTGCCCTCCTTCTGGTCAGTAGTTCAAAATTAGGGACGGTCATACCCTATCCCTAACAAGGGGTGGTCGTTTAACTACGTATGCGTGGCTACCTTTCAGGCTTAAAATTTCATTCTAAATTTAAGCGCGCCCAGTGTAGTATATTGATTGACAATATCATGAGTGAAGACAAACAGGCTTTTTAGTGATAACCTAAACTAAGGTCGACTTAACTACCATCCACTTTTCCCTTCTGGTCCTTGAGAAGGGTAAACTGCTGCGTTGTTTTCGGGTGAATACGTCTCGCGACGTGGTTCCACGAACGATTTGACAGCTGTGGTTGCCTAATGGACTGAAGACCGAGCCACAAGCGTAATGAATTCCTATCAGCATGTAGCCTTGAAGCATTAATTTTTCTTTTTACGGCTGAAACCCTTAACATTCACCCCGAGCTTTCCAAAATGTTTTTTTTTTTTCGTTAGCTAGCTGCACGTTAATGTCGAATTGAATGACTTTCTTAAACTCTATAAACCTCTTAAGTCATTCAATTTAGTGATGTAAAGGATTATGTACATTTTGATGGGTATTTATAAACAAATAAAGACGATAAATCCAAGCTTAGATTGGACTGTGTCAAGAAAGAAGCCTTAATGGTGGGAGGGCAAAGTATACTAAACACTACAAATTTTTTACTACAAAATTTGTAATTGGATCGAGAAAAAAAATCGAGATTGCTTGACCAAAGTAACTATAAAAAATAACCGTTTTCCTCCTTGTTTGAGCCTAATATTGGTTATTTGTTAAACTGCCTTTATTGATAATTTTTCGTGTCAAAATAAATATATATTACAATGTAGAATGTTCTGGAAATTATTTATAGTTATGTAAAGTGTAAGTGGAATCACGTTGCTTTTTAGGTTTATAAACCACGATACATTAACACATTATGAACAAGAGTGTATGAACAAATTTCTCTTGTGTTTTAATATATATCATGTGCTTGGGGGAGGGTGCGGCGGGTACGACTGCACACCAAAATGGACCCCGAATATATATGTGTGTAAAACATATCTAAAAGGTATAAAAATAACTTCCGAGACCATCAAAGTTCAACATTTATAGTGAAACTTATAAAAAAATTTTCGGACCTTGACCATCCTCTGGCTTCACCATTGGTTTCTTTTTTTACCTCCAAAATCACCCCTCCCCCTTCTATAGATTTCTGCCTAAGTCCACACCCCATTTTATAGATTTCTGCATATGTAAATATCTGTGGGATGATTTTCCTACTTATTTTGTCCATCTCTTTAGCGTAATTAATAGGATGCTCAACACGATGTTTGCTAATTCTGCAAAAAGTTTCTTTCATCTGTCTTCTGCTCATTATAGTTTACACAGCCCTTTCAAGTTTACAAATGTCACATGTAATCTGCAGATTTTGGTAGATCTTTACGAACATAATATCCTAAAAGCTACCTTCCCGAAGATGCTAGCACAGTCTTTATTTTACTATAAGACAAACAATTCTTATTACACATGGTAGGCGTTGTAATTTTGTTTTTTAGCGCAAATCTACTAGATAGACTATCTTCACATTGTCCACCGCTAGGAAACGAACCCGAGATTGTAGCATTTAAGTCCGAAAATTACCGCCGACTCACCTTGCTAGTGCCACGAACAAACAGGTAAACTAAAGGCACAAGTTCGTTCTAACTTATTCTACATCCCCGAGAAAATAAGAAGTGTGAGAAGGGACGTACGTAGCTTGTGGTTTTAACTTACAACTTATTCAGGTTGTTTCTATCGCTCTGATTACACAGACTGTTCTAGTTTAGTCCCATAAAAGAGGGCATAAGTGGAATCTCATATATGTCCTCTTCTATCCTAATTGTCTTTTTTTTATCCTTGCAGGAAAAGGAGTAAGGTGTACCGATAATTTGTGAGGATCTGGATTCTGTGGGATGTTTCCTCCTCCTTGGGTTGGTCCGTGTGACAAGCGTGGCAAATGAAAGACCAGCCGCTCGATGGCCAGCGAGGGAAGGTGGCAGTGCTCCACTCCACCAAGCCTATATGTTTGGAGAGTGTCAAGAGCGAGCTGAAGAATTCTGTTACGGGTTCTACCAATGCAACAAATTTTGATGATGACTATAATGAATGGGAGTTAGGAATTGGTGAACTTATAATAGATCTGGACGCCGATATCGAAAAGAATAACGATAAAAACGGTCAACATTCCCAAGCTAACGGAAGTACTGTCATTAATTCTCCTGCAGGTGGCGCGGTGTCTTTGAACCTGTTGTCCACACAGGAGACTGCTTGTGGAGGCATGTCAAGCTCCAAGATTTCGCGAATGAGTTCTGGCGGAAGTAACGCTGGAAGCTCTTCTAATACTTGCGGGGGGATTGCAAATTTGGGGGCCCCAGTCGAACACCAAGCTACTGTCGATAAAGGGTTGAAAATGAAAATAAAACGGAAAAATGTTGGTAGCAAATTTTCCGAAGCAAAACATGAAATTGTGCAGTCAGATACTAAAACTTCCAGTGGAACAGAAGGTTCTTCTAGCAATGGAGTCGCTGGGATTAGCTCTGCAGAAGCTAAGCCTAAACATTCTTCCAGTAAAGGCCGCAGTAGTAGTCATAGAGAAAAGAAGGATAAAAATCGTGACAAAGACAAAAATAGATCTACTGAGTTGAATGGGATTTCAGGGAATATCTCACTCTCTACGCCATCTTTAAAAGTCTCTGCTGGTGGATTATCATTATCTTCTTTACCAACACCAACAGTGAACTTGGGGTTACCTGCTGGATTAATGGTGCCTAAGAATGTGACCAGTAATAGTTCAAGTAATACTGTTCTTCATGACCATGTAATAAGTACCACTATTGTTACAACCGGAACCTGTGCTTCTTTAGCTAATTATTCACCAAAAGTAGACACCAGGTTTACATCTAGTAGTGCGACTCTAAAGCAAGATGATACTGCAATTTCTCCACCACAAAAGAAGATAAAAGTAGAAAAGCAAGAAGAGGTGAGCAAAATAAATCCACCATACTTGCCTAGAGTTAAGAAATATAGCTATGTTTTTTCAGAGATGAGCTTTAATTCACTGAAGTCAAAATTGGATGATTTTCCAAGAAAAAAAAATTAAAGCTATATTTTAAATGTTAATAATTTTGTTTCGCATGACTAGGTTTTCGCCTGTTTTATGAATCTCATTAAATATAGTTTATTTTCGAATTTCTTAAAGAATCGCTTTGTAGGTTGTACATGCAAGCGATTACGTCACGTGGTTCGGCTAAGAAAGGAACACTGACAATGATTTTTTGCAGTTTATTTTTCTTTCAACTGAACTGAAAACGTGCTTGCCACTTAGGTTAGCTTAAGTAACACTTATTAATTGTAAAGAATGAAATGGCTGATTATTACGTTCGTTATGTGTAAAACGTCTGGATAAATTTTATAAGAAAAAGTAAAGAAACGTGAAACAGTAAGGTTCAGCTAACACTAACCACAATTAGATTCACTGGCTTTATCAAAAGTCTTCTCGGTTTTGTAAGCCCTTTTGAGAGTCTTGTAAGTATCGTTTGTCGTTTTGCACATTATTACTTGTATACCACGTGGTTCGTCATTTGGTAATTTTTATCTTCCTGACAAAGTTTAGGGTCCCTTCCTCTGGTGGGAAAAGATAATTTGAAACTCTTAAAGTATTCTGTGTTTTCTCCTATCCTTCTGGGTCACAAAGGGTTCGAGCTGTATTTTCTCCTATCCTTCTGGGTCACAAAGGGTTCGAGCTGTGTTTTCTCCTATCCTTCTGGGTCACAAAGGGTTCGAGCTGTGTTTTCTCCTATCCTTCTGGGTCACAAAGGGTTCGAGCTGTGTTTTCTCCTATCCTTCTGGGTCACAAAGGGTTCGAGCTGTGTTTTCTCCTATCCTTCTGGGCCACAAAGGGTTCGAGCTGTGTTTTCTCCTATCCTTCTGGGTCACAAAGGGTTCGAGCTGTGTTTTCTCCTATCCTTCTGGGTCACAAAGGGTTCGAGCTGTGTTTTCTCCTATCCTTCTGGGTCACAAAGGGTTCGAGAGATACAAAGCAAAAGATAAGATCAAACTGTATTTAAAGTTGGTCAATTTATATTCATTTTAATGATATTTTAATCTTTTTTTTTATTACTCTATCCATGCTGCGGGGTTTCAGCGGGGAGGCAGAGATTAGTGAAGAAGAGATTAATTAACTTTGTATATATTTACATCATGCTATTAATTAAGTGATAGCAGAAGAGGTGCTTGTCCACCACAACCAGTGTATGTACAGTACAGTCCATTCTTTTAAAAGAGATTAACTACGTGGTTTAGTTCAGCGTTACTGACAGGCGTGGTACAGTGTGTAGTTTGCTGGATGGTGAATCTAAGGGACCAAGGTTCGCATCCCCGTTGCCACAAAATCTAGCTCTGTGGGTGCGTTACAATAGTTTCGGTCAAAGTCCACTATTTGATTGGAGTAGCCCCAAAAATGTTAGTATTGGATGCCGTTGACTAGCTGCCTTTCCTGTTCGTCTGTCAGTTCAGAATTAAGGTATTTTAACTGAAAGCTGAAATACAGAGGTGTGTGAACTAAAACAAAAAATGACGAGATCTTTAACATTTTATTATTATCTGAAATTACTGGAAAAAAAGTTGATAAAAGTATATGTATTGTTTGAGTAAAGAATATTTCGGGTGCCAAATATTTTTAAATGGTGTAGTTATATAATGGTCTTCCAAATGAATTTTTTTGGGGCGAGGGAATTAACAAATGACAGTGGTTTTGTTGGATAAAGCCATTTTTATTATGTTTAGAATATAGAGAAGCATTTTGGATGCTCTATAACCAGTCATTCCCAAACTTTTTTCAGTGCCTAAACCTTTTCAGTCATCAAGAATCTGCAGGACTCCATTAGAGCCCGCCACTCCAGCCAGGTTTGGAAACCTATGCTCTATGGTGTCTTTTCAATGACTTCTAAAACTAACAGCGCCAGGATCTTTCTTAGTGCCAAAAAGAGACACACGCACACTCTTAATGTTAGAGCTTTCTCGCATGCGCATTACTGAAAATTTTATGAAATCTTAAACTTTCTAATATCTAGCATACTATCAATTCCGCAAATTATCAATCTGTAGTTCTCAAAGCTTTTGTGCAAACTTGTTTTACTGACTTCTTTTCAGTTTTATAAAATGCACACAGGCGCACGTACATAAAGAACCCAACATAAAACTTACAATGAATAAAGTACATAAATCCACTATGTAATAATAGCACTAATTCTCGCGAAGTTGAAGCTTCTACTCGTATCCAAAGCTTTAAACATTGAACAAAAACGTTTTTCTTGACTTGAAAGAGGCCCAGCATGGCCAGGTGGTTAGGGCGCTCGACTCGCAATCTGAGGGCCGCGGGTTCGAATTCCTGTCACACCAAACATGCTCGCCCTTTCAGCCGATAGGGCTTTATAAAGTGACGGTCAATCCCACTATTCGTTGGTACAAGAGTAGCCCAAGAGTTGGCGGTGGGTGGTGATGACTAGCTGCTTTCCTCTAGTCTTACACTGCTAAATTAGGGACGCTAGCGCAGA